CAAAAACAATTCGATCATGGATTATAAAAAAATCGATCAAGTATTACAAAAAAATCTATACATAGGATTACCAAAAAACAAAAAAAAAAAAAAAATAAAAAAAAAAAAAAAAAAAAAGAAATATTCAGTACGGACTCGCCGATTCACTGTTCGGACTCGCCGATTCCATACAGTGAATCGGCGATTCACTGTACAGAATCGTCCGGTTCTCTCTAGAACCGGACGATTTCCGATTTTTTAGGCGATCCGATCCCCTTTCACGATTTTTGAGTCGAACCGGGCGAGTCCGGTTCGACTCGGCGTTTTTTAAAACGCTGCCTAAAATATAAGGAAAAGTATAGGGAGATTATCGTTAATATACCTTAATTTTAAGAAAATCGTAAAAATAAAAACCCCTAACTTCCCAAAATCTTGCCCACACCATTTATTTTCCAATTTTCAGTATTTTTTGAACGAAAATACCCTTAACAGTAGTCTTTCTACCATAATGCATTGCGACCACTATGGTAATTAAAATACCGTTGTAATTAGAGATAGAATTATGGTACTTCTAGTACCGTAATAACATAAACATCTATTACGATACTTTAATTACCATAATAACATAAAGTATTTCGGTAATTAAAATGCTGCAATACTTTAAAGTAGTATTGCGGTAATTTAAGTACAATAATATTGCCCAATTCAACACGAAAGATTTTTTACTCTGTTGAGCCTACTATTTATTTACTCTCTCGACAAAAATCCACGCTAGTTGTAATTTTTCAAATATCAATTTTTTAGGATATAATCTCTACTTAATTTTTATATGGTTCTCAAAATTTTAGAACGAAAACATGCTTAAATAAGTGTTTTTGAGTGAGGGAGTAGTTCCACATCGTGCTCCCATGAGAACATAGCTTTTTTTAAAAAGGTAACCCAATATATGCTTTGGTTTGAACCTTTTAAAGTATTACGGTAATTCTACCCGCTTTTTTTTTATAAGAGTGTTATTTACAAGACACAAAACACAAAATTTTTTATTAAACTTTATAAGATATCCCAAACCATCTAATTTGGCATCTAATAACTAGAAATTATTATGTCTTCGTTATATAAAAAATAAATGGTTTCATATTATATACTCCCTTTAAATAAACACAATTCTAATGAAAATACCAAGTTAAATAATAGTTTTGAACTTCTCTCTTTATTTTTTTCAAAAATCTAAAAGTATTTCCAAAATCGACCAAACGGGTCGAATTTAATATGTCGGTATCCAAAACCATGTTTTGTATAACGAAGGTATCTTGCATAAAAACATGTTTTGACAACTTTTTATTTGATACATATAACTAAGAAAGAAGGCCAAAACGTGGGTACACGAAATCATGGCGTTTTGTGTAAGCAAAAAAAAAAAGAATACAACATAATAAACTGACGATAATGCTATTTTCACATGCCGGAGCTGTTCACTTTATTAAATATAATTAATTATCCAAAACATCTCTACAAATTAGAGAGAGAAACTACTTCAAATTTAAAGTTTTAGAGAGAGAAAATATCTTAAAATTTAAAAAAGAAAAACTATAGTAAATTTTAGGGAGATAAACTATTGAAAATTTTGAGAGAAATAAACTATCTCAATTTTTTAGAGAAATAAAGTATCTCAAATTTTAAGTTTTAGAAAATATCTTAAAATTTTATAGACATAAACTATATTAAATTTTAGATAAAGAAACTAGCTAAATTTTTTTAGAAAGATAAATCTTATCAAAAATTTTAGAGAGATAGATTATATCAAATTTCATATTTTAGATAGAAAAACTTATCTTAAAATTTTAGAGAGAGAACTATATCAAATTTTAGGGAGACAAACTACCCGAAATTTTTAGACAGAGAAACTATTTCAAAATTTTTAGAGAGAAAAAGTGTCTCAAATTTTATGTTTTAGATAGAGAAAGTATCTTGAAATTTTAGAGAGAAACTATATCAAATGTTAGAGAAAGAAACTAACTGAAAATATTTAGAGTGAGAAACTTTCTCAAACGTTTTAGAGAGAAACTATATCAATTTTTAAATCTTAGATAGAGAAAGCATCTTAAAATTTTAGAGAGAAAAACTATCTCAAATTTTAGAGAGAAACTACTTAAAATATTTTAGAGAGAGAAAACATAGCTTAAAATTTTAGAGAGAGAAAATTATATCAAATTTTAGAGAGAGTAATTGCTTGAATTTTTTTAGAGAGAGAAACTATCTTAAATTTCATGTTTTAGAGACTAGGTATCGTAAAATTTGAGAGAGTGAAACTATATCAAATTTTAGAGAGAGAAACTATGTAAAAGTTTTTAGAGAGAGAAACTATCTTAAAATTTTAAGTTTTTGAGAGAGAAAGTTTCTTAAACTTTTAGAAAAAATATATATTAAATTTGAAAAAAGTTTATATAAGGTTGCAACCTTAAAATGTAGAATTAAAGGTGTACATCAAAAATCCATCGAAAAAAGCTGTTTTAATGTTGAAACAACCTGATCATCTCGACATCGAGATGTAAGAACATGAAAAGGAAAAAAGATTTTGAGTCCTATAATTAGTGCATCTTGCAACATATTATTCAGACCGCCCATTTTTAAGATTTTCATATGTTTATAGATTTACTTGATTTTAACTATTTTGGAGTTTAAAATTTTATAATTAGATATAAAAACATATTTTCAGATAATCCTAATAATAATTTACACCAAAATTACATGTTATGATAAAAATTGGAGGTACACCTTAATTAGATTGTTAAGGTTTCAACCTTATAGAAATCACACCCATTAAATTTGAGAGAGAGATAGATTATCTAAAAAAAATTAGAGAGAGAAACTATCTTAAAATATTTAGATAGAGAAATTATATCAAATATCAAGTTTTAGAGAAAGAAAGTATATTAAAATTTCAAAGAGTGAAATTATGTCAAATTTCTGAGAGAGAAATT